ATTAGGTTTGTGCAAAGTATATAACATAAAGTCCATATATTCTGAATTAGCATGAGAGAAATCGATCTAGACATGTCCGTCCGTCCGTCTGAATGAACGCAAGGATCTCAGAAACTATAAAAGCTATATAATAACCAAAGGTGGCATGAAGATTCTCTTCCACTCCGAGAAAGGACGAGCTTATTTTATTTTTTTGAATTTTCCCTCCCTTCCCCCGCTTAAGAATTTCGACAATACCGTCCACATTTCAAAAGTTACACCAACCAAACCTTGCACATATAATTCATACACAATACAATACAATGAAGTTATTGCGTTTTAAGTGTCATTATGTTTGTGTTATCGGTGCGAAAATGAGCTTCGAACAAAGAGCCAACATTAAATTTTGTTTTAAAATTGGTAAAACTTTTCCCGAAACGTTTCAATTGATGGAACAAGTTTATGGCGATGAGTTTATGCAGAGTGCACGAGTGGTTTCAATGTTTTCAAAGTGGTCGTGAGGACATAAATGACGATCAACATGTGGGCCAATCAAAATTCGTGATCACCGAAAATTCCATCGAAACTGTTCGTGAATTCATCAAAAATCAGCCGAAATCATCATTGAAATTGATGGAAATGGAATTGAACATCTCCAAAACATCGATTTATCGCATTTTGACCGAACATTTGGGCATACGAAAGGTTTGTGCACGGTTTGTTCCGCACAAATAGACTGAAAACCAAAAATTGCCCAGAATCCAACATTCGAAGGAAATCATTAAACAGGTAAAAAATGACAAAAACTTCCTTTACAATATTGTGACTGGAGACGAAACACAAAAATCACATTTTAACCATTAACCACTCACCGTATTCACCTGATATGGCACCGTGCGACTTCTACCTTTTCGCAAAAATGCATTTGCCCATGAAAGGAAAGCGTTATGCAGACGTAGAGGCCATTCAAAAGGCTTGCACCGGCATACTGGCGGCCATACCGGGCAACGAGCTAAAACACTCGTTCGACATGCTTTTGGATCTTGCAAAAAGCTGTATTGAAGCAGAAGGAGACTATTTTGAATAAAATAAATTGATTTTACCGAAAAAACGATTTGTTCTTTTTTTTAAGTCCTGCTTACTTTGGAACACCCCTTGTACACACAGGCATACCAACATAAAAATTGCACACATCTATCAGGGGAGCCATAGAAAACTCTGGTGGTTTCGGCTACAGTTGCTTTTGAAAACTCCTTAAAAATACGTCGGTGCCACGGAACTTCGAAAGATTTCATTTTTTTGAACTTCCCGTCCAAGCCAGCTACCATCAATAGCTGACTGTCGACGCAAACTTGGTATCCAGATTCGCAAAAGCCCGAGAAAGGACGAGTTTGTTCATTTTTTCTGATGCATCCCCCCAACAATTTTCATCCGATTTACTTCAAACTTAGTTTGAAAACTGTCATAAAGAATACAAAACAAGTAAAAAAGCTAAAGTCGGGTGTCCCGACTTTGAAATACTCTGTACATATGTTTACAATAATTATAGAAAATAAAAAAATTAAGAAAATAAAAAAAAAAATTTGATCGATTTTACCTCTCTCGGTATTCGAACTCACGTAAAGGGTGTATAATTGCACATTTACATAGCAATTGCGTCTGTGTGAGTGTATGTATGCCTATGCGCATCAATTCGTGTCTGTGTAAGCATTTTCGCAGTCAACCAAACAGCAACATCAACAACAGCCGCGGGCAGCGCTTGAGCAGCACTGCATCAGCAAATATATTTATGGCTATAACTTCTTGTTAAATCGGTCTATCATAATGATATACGGACACATAATAACCAACTGGGGGTATTTCCAAAATTTTAGTTCGAAATTCCAAGAATTACGGGAGTTACGATTTGTGGGGTAGAGGGAGGAGGGAGGGGAATTCCAAAATATACATTTTCTGCGTATTCACATAAGGCATCTGGGACTAAAATTTGGTGTTCCTAGGTCTTATAGTCTCCGAGATATAGGCGATTATACGAATGGAAAATCGGGAAAACCCCCATAGGGGGGAAGTGGGGGGGAAAATCAAAAAAATAAAACAAACTCGTATAGAATACACACATAACGCATCTTTGTGCAAAATTTGGTGTCTCTATCTCTTATAGTCTCTGAGATCCAGGTGTTCATACGGACGGACAGACAGACAGACAGGCTAGATCGACTCGTCTCGTCATGCTGATCAAAAATATATATACTTTGTGAGGTCTGCCACGCCTCCTTCTGCCTGTTACATTTTTCAGCTCCCGCAAATGTACTTCTGTACATTTCATGTACAGAGTATAAAAATATTAGTTACAATAAACAAAAATGTAACGGACTAACTGAACAATTTGCTGTCAAGAACAGAAAATGTTCATTGAAGTACCTAAAACGCCTTAGTACTGATAATTAACAAGGTGAAAATATACAATTTGAAGCATTATATTGAGCCGGGTTAAGACGGGCAATATCTGCTAGTACACGCATATAAACAGCAGACACACGATTCTGATGTACATTTATTATATGCATGTGTTGAATATTTTATACTTTATTTCATTAATTAATTAAATTAATTAACTTTTCTTAAATAATTTTTTTAATGTTCCCTTTTTTGTGAAGAGTACAGGGTATTTTACTGTCGGGCTTGCTCGACTGTAGCGTTCTATCTTGTTATGCTCAACGTTGCCGAGCAACCAAATGCAATATTGTCGATTGCTTGGCCGATGCTAATATCGTTTTTGCTGACTTGTCTTAATTAAAAATTGCAAAATGATGTAGATATGCAATTTTGATTGATTTTAAATGTTAACTAGAGAGAACGAGCAAGCCCGACAGTAAAATACCCTGTACCCAGATAAACTTCCGTCACTGAGTTATATGCGCCCATAGCAGAATCAAAAAGAGGAAGAAGAAGGCGAACTTGTTGCTGCAGTTTGGTGCGGTTGTACTGGAAAGAATTTGTTTAGCTAATAACTTTTTTTAGAATTGATCGAAGTGGATAAAATTTTAAACTAAAGTAGATAACTGTACATAGGTTGCGTATGCAAGTGCAGTTTGGTTTATGTAGCTTTTGAAATGTGGGCAGTATTCACGAAATTCTGTAGCGTGGAAAGGGGAGGGGGGGGGGGGGGGGGGAATTCCAAAAAATAAAATAAACTCGTTTTTTCTCGAACCTAGGAGAATCTGGATACCAACTTTGGTTATTCCAGCTTTTATACATAGTTTCTGAGATCCTTGCGTTCATCCAGACGGACAGACAGACGGACGGACGGACATGTCTGGATATATGTATGTACTTCTATACTTTATGGGGTCGGAGATGCTTCCTTCTGCCTGTTACATACTTTGCACAAACCTAATATACCCTTTTTACCCTACGGGTACAGGGTATATATAGTAGCTGAATATGTGCTGGAATCTGGTGATGGTTCCCACGGAAGCTTGTGGATGCAGAAACTGCAGCTGTCGTGATTTTTTGCTTGCATGAAGGTTTTTATACTCTGTACATAAAATGTACAAGAGTATATTACGTTTGCGGGAGCTGAAAATGTAACAGGCAGAAGGAGGCGTGGCAGACCCCACAAAGTATATATATTCTTGATCAGCATGACGAGACGAGTCGATCTAGCCCTGTCTGTCTGTCCGTATGAACACCTGGATCTCAGAGACTATAAGAGATAGAGACACCAAACTTTGCACAAAGATGCGTTATGTACAAGTATGTACGCTGTGCAAGTTTGTTTTATTTTTTTGATTCCCCCCCCCCCCCCCACTTCCCCCTATGGGGGTTTTCTCGATTTCCCATTCGTATAATCGCCTATATCTCGGAGACTATAAGACATACGGGCACCAAATTTTAGTCCCAGATGCCTTATGTGAATAGGCAGAAAATGTATTTTGGAATTTCCCTCCCTCCACCCTCTCCCATGCAAATCGCGATCGCAAAAGTGCAATTATACACCCTTTACGTGAGTTCGAATACCAAAAGAGATAAAATCGATCAATTTTTTTTTTTATTCTCTTACTTTTTTAATTTCTATATTTATTCTTAACATATGTACAGAGTATTTCAAAGTCGGGACACCTGACTTTAGCTTTTTTACTTGTTGTATGTATGTATGTATGTTAGAATATTTATGTAATGAATACATGTATGTATAAGTGCTAAAAATGAAGTTTGCGCTTATTCTACTCAGACATAATTTTATTACGTACTAAAAATACTAATAATATGATGTTTCTAATAATATATGCCCACATTTGTAAGATAATATGAGGCCGGTCGTGTTGCAAGTGCGTAACTGTGCATTGCATGTCAGTGAAAGTGCGTTGAGGTGACATTTGATGCCACATGCGGGACATGTTGTTTTGCTTTGGATTTGGTCATTGCTTTTGCAACATGTTGCGGCAACATGCGTATCATATACACAGTATAACGCCTGCAGTGCTTCTGCGGTTGCCACAGCTGCTTCCATTTCAAGACTAATTGTACTCACTAACTTAACTTTGCTCAATTCGTCAACAATTATCTGCTGGCCGCGGGCAGAATTCTAGGCCCGATTATGAAAGATGCCATATAGAAAACGTTAGTTGCAACGCCCACCACCGTTGTAACGGCCAATTGGCAATCAAACTATCGTTGGACTGTTGGGTGACCTTTTGGGCAGCTGCTTTGTAGAAGTTCAGAAGTTTAAATGCAGCTATACAATGCCGTTCAGCATAATAAATATTCGATTTCAATCAGCCATCAAGCTGTCATGCACTCAACTAAAATAAAATAGTTACAGTCGCATTTGCTAGCACTGTTGCCGCTGCCGACGGCGTCACGTTGTCTTGTTTTTGCATAACAGCAAACTGTAGCACAATGGAACATTGGAAATCTAGCAACTATAAATAAGAGACGGCGTACGCCAACATACAACAAATACCGTTCGGCATTAGGCTTGTTAACTAGCAGTTAAACCAGCAGCAGAAAAATTCTCCTACAACATGAAGTACCTGGTAAGTAGAAACCACAGGGAAGGACTACTTATTATACTCTGTACTGTACAGCTGTCGTGATTTTTTGCTTGCATGAAGGTTTTTATACTCTGTACATAAAAAGTACAGGAGTATATTAGGTTTGCGCGAGCTGAAAAATGTAACAGGCAGAAGGAGGATCAGCATGACAAGACGAGTCGATGTCCCTGTCTGTCCGTCCATCCGTCCGTTTTATTTTAATTTTTTTTTATTGTGCTCGCAGTTGTTGGTGTTACATACACAGATACACACAAACTCACACATACACACATAATTATTCTACAAATATGTACAGAGTATTTCAAAGTCGGGAAACCCGACTTTGGCTTCTCCACTTGTTTTACAACTATACATTGATTTTTTCAGTTCGTTTTCGTTATTTTCGTTGTGTTTGTGTCCTATTGTATGGCCGCCATTTCAGAGCCCGTCGCAGCCTCGCTATACGACGAAGAGGACGCCGCTGTCGCTGAAAAGAAGACAGAGAAGCGGGGCATCTACGGCTTCGGCTATGGTCACGGCTACGGTGGATATGGTTATGGCGGTTATGGCCACGCACATTATGGTAGCTATGGCTACGGAAGCCCATTCTACAGTGGATATTCTATTCATGCACCCTACGGCCACCACCACGGCTACTATCCGTACCATCATCATGGCCTCTATAACTATTACTAAACCCGCCAGATGCAGTGTTTCACATATCTCGCAATATAGTACATGACTTTTTTTTCGTCGTCCAATAAATATCTTTCACGTGTATAGCTTAAAACATGCTTTAATATTTTTGTCCAGTGATTAAGTCTTTTTATCTACAGCAAACGAATCCTGATGTTCGGTACTCGTTTAAGTCACCCGGGGAACTATCTCTACTCAAGGCAGGTTACGCATTATTATTATTATTATGGATTCCGTATTGAATTTACCCAGCGCTAAAAACGTTTTAAGGCTGCAATCATTAAGGGTCTAGCCATGAGGAACGAATCAACATTATCATATAATTGGGGGTGTTTCTACAATTCATCTCTTTGTTCTTAGCTATCACAGGAATAATAATAATGAATACACTGATAAAAAAGTGGCATAGTACAGATGAATATTTTCATATTAAATTAAATTTCTACTATTTTATATTCAAATCGAATATAAACATCGTAAATTTTACTAAAAACATATTTAATTAGTGATTTTAATATAAATAATATTCAAAACAAAGTGTAAAATTTTGTTATTAAAGTGTGTCATATTCAGTTTAATGTTAAACCATATTAAATATTAATAAGCACACACTTCACTGCACGGAATGCACGCATTCTTCTTCTTCTTTTGCGTTCTTTTCGCAAATAATGCATACACACAGCGACATGTATCGATATTCTTTATGACGCGCGTCGGTCAATTGTGAGTTGATTTTTGTGAAAGACGGACGTGTGCCAAAGTAATTTATTGAATTAAAGTGAAAGAACATAATAATAAAATAGTGATTGTGTTGGAATAAATTGATCTGCGTAAGTATGAACATTTACATATGTATAATATATTTGTACGCGTACACACATACATACATACATACAAATTTGCCATTTATAGTTTCTTGCATCGTGTCCGCAAGAAACATAATTGGCAATTAATAACTGATCTACATGCTTAATTGACTCACATTATAAGTCTTCAAATAATTCATTTTATTATAAATTCATAAAAATATACTTATAATTGAACATACGTACATTGATACGAGTATGTATGCGTGTGTAGGCAATGCAAAATGTGATCATTTATTTACCATGTAACCATGCACAAACGTGGTTGTGCTATTTAGTGCTTAACCTTTGAATATGTGTATACGTACATAAATATGTACGTACGCATAATAAATGCTAAATAATAACTTGGTGTAATTAGTATTTATTAATTGTTTGATTTTAGGTTATGGACATTAAAAAGCAAAATTCAGATTTATCCGAAGAAGATGACGCTCAATTAATGAACTTATTAAAGAAATTTGAATTAGAAGAATTATTTGAAGTCCTAAAATGTGAGTTCACTTTAATTTGCTTTTTTAAAAAATTTTGTTGTTCCTTATTTTTATTTATTTTTGTAAAGCCCATGGTGGTTCAGACTGCCTTGAAGAGAGAAGTTTCGGATTGGAATGCAGTACTTGATAAGTGGTCAAAAACTTATGAATTGCGTCATAAAGAATCCCAAACCTTGAATGCATTCGAATTTTTGCAAGAATGGCCGAAGTATACCGATTCTCGTGCAGTGGATTTGGTGAGATTCCAGGCCTTCCAAACTTCCACGTAACAGAAAACTTTTATTTTGATTTGATGCATGATGTTTTAGAAGGCGTATGTGTTCACGGTATTTGTCAAACCTTAAACGCTTTAATTAATGATAATATTGTATGTTTATCAACAATTAATAGTAGAAAAAATCTGTTTTCTTATGGCGAAATAGAAATAAAGAACTCGTCACGACCGCTAGAATTAACTAAACTTAAGAAAAATGAACTTAGAATGACAGCTAGTGTAGTATGCGCATATGTCGAGAGTGCACTGTATCCAGTGCCCGTCAAATATATACAACAGCAACACTTTGTTGCTGCATAAACATAATTTAAACAGCGACACTTTGAAGTGCAATGACTTGCAAGTAGCTGGCCGCGTCAGCATTCTCATGCATTGACCGCTCATGAGACATATATGCATACCACTCTCTTACGTTATATATAAGCATATATACATAAAGCTGCTCTGCCGCTGCCTTTAGGCTAAGAACATTTTATACATACAATTGAATAAAAATATATATATATATATATATATATTTATATCCCCGCCTGGGAGTTAGCTTGTAAACTCCAGGCCGAATTAGAATATCTAAAAAAAGAAATTCTAAATAAAAAGGCACACTAGCATTCGAAAGCGAAAAAAAAATACCAGTAATTGGAAATATTAAATTAAAAATAAAAGTTGCAGAAAAGAAAGAAATACCTGTCTACAAAGAAACTTGCCCAATGGACTGCGAGGGACCTCTCTTCGCACCAGCTTGCGAGGGAACGTGCATGCACACGCAGTGATTACGGCCAGTGGATCAACAAGTGCGAAAGGCATAGGACCGCCTTTTGTACCAACGTTGGAAACCACCAACAATCACCTCAACATCAAGAACTGAAGCGCGAGGAGCACACCGTCACTTGCGCCTTCGAGGGAGCATCAGCGTGCCACATCTGGCGACGCCCAGCTGATGCTACGGGATCCATCAAATGGACAGGATGGACATAAAGGCTTAAGCTAATTAAAATTATGTTATATGTACACCAAATTTGTAAAGTAATTTAAGACACAAGAAAATTGTAAAAAAAATAGGCAATAAGAAAATCGTAAAATAATTAATAAGAAAAATTGTAAGAAATATTGTAATTACGAGCTGTCCCTGCAAATGGCTCGTAAAGATATAAAAAAAAAGGAAAGAATTTTGTAAAAAATGAACGGCTATGAATGAATAGCAATAGTATAAGCAAGACAAGTCAGGTAGAGGTAGATAAGCCACATATACTTGGCATTATTGAGGTAAAATTAAGTAGTATACCCACGATGGGTTTGATAGATACAAAAGTGTTGGACTCCACCGCCGGAATAATAAATAAAGTAGAGTCCCAAAAAGTAGACGTGGACACTATTATAATTCTGTTAATATTAATAGTTATATTGATGAGCGCAAATTTGTTTTTCAAATTGTACAAATTGCACAACAAATGCCTTAAGAAAAAATATTTAAGTAGGGCTAATGATTTAGATAAAATTTGAAACATTTTTTTTTTAAATTGAAAAAAAAAACTAAGAAAAATAATAAATTTGTTATTGTACATCTGAAAAGCAAAGGGCTCGAAATCATTTTTATATGTATGTAGACATGTATGAGCAAATAAGAGAATGCGTACTAGAAATAGTACGAAACGAACCTGAGTTCGTTAATATATATAAATATAAGTATCTTATTAAGATAAGAAATTATAACTGGAAATAGAATTTCAAAATAAATAAATAAAAATGAATTAAAAGTAAATAACACGAAAAAAAAGGTGTTCAGGAGAATTAGTAAAAAAAAAAAACCCTTTGCGGAGCATCCGAACTTTCCATAATACATGGATTGGAATGCTATATGCAAGAGAGTAGGTGAGCTGAGAGCCGAGTTCGAAAAATCGTACAAAAGCCTCACTCAAAATAGACCAACACAGATAGGTACGTTGAATAGGCACACCATTAAATTGGTGCAATTATATAATGAGATCCGAGAGATATTTCTAGAGAACAAATCTAGATTCACGGATCTCCATTGGACTCAGGCTTCGGACGTTGTAAAACGCCTAAGAGAACAGCTTAACGCTGTAAAAGAAAGGCATGGCTTAGATATACACTTGCCAAATACATTAAGTAGTGCAGTAACATATATAGCTGTAGATGAGGAGGACGGCAGATCAATAAGCCCCACACCAAAATCGCCAAATACGGCGTACATAAGCATAGTTTCGGAAGAAGATTCCAAAAGTGGACTTACTCCCAACAACAGCCCCGCAAGAAGCGAAACGGCTGATAACATTAATTTAGACCCAACTATTTCGCAATTGCCAGATATGTCGCAAACAAAGATTCAGTTTATAAAGACAGCGTCATCGCTGATACCAGAGTTTGATGGCAAGGCCGAAAATTTAAGAAGCTTCGTGGACGCGTTGCAGTTGGTGGACTCAATTAAAGAGACACACGAGGCAACGGCAGTCCAATTGATAAAATCAAAGCTTAAAGGCCACGCACGCAATTTGATTAGCGATGAAAACTCAATTGCACAAATTGTGAGCAAACTGTCTGCGACTGTAAAAGGAGAATCGGTTGAAGTGCTATCAGCCAAACTCCTAAATTTGCAACAAAAGAGCAAAACTGCCAACTTCTATACACAAGAGGTTGAGCAGCTAACAAAAGCCCTTGAAGGTGCTTATATTAATGATGGACTAAATTATGATCTAGCCACCAAATATAGCACAGCTCAAGCGGTTAAGGCAATGACCAAAAACTGCGCAATTGATAGGGTAAAATTTATCATGCAGGCAGGCACATTCAATAACATGAATGATGCCATATCAAAATTTGTTGATAGTTGCACAGAAGCTACAGGGCAAACCAACACTGTCTTGTATTGCCAGAATTACTCTCACCGGGGCGGAAACCGCGGCAGAGGTAATTACAGGGGCCGACCATACAACAGAGGCGGCTTCAGGCACAACAACCAAGGTGGTAATAGGTACAATAGTCACAGCGGCAATCCTCGAGGCACCTCTTACACAGGGGGCCAATATAGAGGACGCGGACAACAGTATCGGATCCGAGTTACACAGAGTAACTCGGAAAACCAGATAAACCCCTTGAGCAACCAACAGTGAAAATTCTGAATATAAATCTAAGTCTCAGTAGTCTCGTTAAAGTAAAAAATGAAAAAAATAATATTCTATTAACATTACTGGTAGATACGGGGGCAAATGTATCGATCTTAAAAAACAATAACGTAAATTCAAATATCAATCAAAATTTTAAAACAAATATAACAGGAATTGGACAGGGCACAATACAGTCACTTGGACGATCGACAATTGATCTACTTTTCGATTACTTCGTAATCAGTCATGATTTCCGATGATTTTCCCATACCATGTGATGGAATTCTTGGACTAGACTTCATTAGAAAATTTAAT